AGACCTGTTGGTGGCCTTCTGCTGTTGTCTGTTCTGTGGTCGGGTTGTTGTCTCTTTGACACATTCCCCATTTCCATTCTCAATTTTATTATTTATAGTGTAATTGCATTTAGTAGAAAAAGAGAATTTGGTGAAAATAAAACCAAGACTTTTGTAGAAAATCCACAGGCTTTAATACAGAGATTTTTGTTATAAAATTTTTAACATAGATTACTCATTTGTTTTTCTATGATCAGCTAGCGTTTATTGTTTACAAAAAGTTCTAAACAACCTTTAAATTCAAAAACACATCGTGCTTGGTCACTAAAGTCGAGCGCACCCTAAAAGGTCCATATAAATTTATATTTGTTTTAACCAATATCTGAATTTATAAACTTGTTTCAAAGGAATTATTGTTAGCACTGCATGCAAAATCCTGTATCTATCAAGCATCTAATTGTCAAATATGAGAGTACAAGCGGAAAGGATGTGGCTTTTCTATAAAATTTCCTTATGTTTAGCATTGAATCAACACAAGGGTACATAATCCTTATTTCAACATGTTCAACATAAATATATACAATAGCCATACATAAATGAATCAATGTTTACCATACACATGTCGATAAGAAACGATAAGGTTACATATAAAAAGGGTAAGGGTGGGAGCGTGGGGAATAGTATACCAAACTAACCTAGTCCTTACTATCTTGTAACGAGCGTCGCATTGGTCAAACACACCTCAAATCTTCCATATATACTGACTGCCAAAATCGTCAGAAAGGAATTCAATGGGTATTACCCAATCTCATTTTAAATATAGAAAGACCGTTATATATAAAACATAGGGCCGTAAAGAAATGTATTAAACATGCTAAACAGGAGAATATGAGAATAGAACATATGATGTAAAAATTGCAACTGAAGATTAAATAACTACTGAAGTTAATGTTTCTAGTTTCAAACTCCGAAATATATGATATAATGTTCAACTAGATTTATAAACAGGAGAAATTATTCACGACCAAAGAAATATCCTTACAAAAAGAAAAATGAACTGTCAGTATTCCTACAGAAAGTAGGTGGTCATCTTTGGCTTAATAATAATAATAATAATAATAATAATATCTTTATTTAGAGAGAGTAACTTATTTGGATGACACCAAATTTTTAATAAGGCTCTCTTAATACAATATAATAATTACATAAAAAAATAAACAATACAAATTCAATAATAATGATAGATGCAATACAATATAAATACAATAAACAATTATTATATGGCATTACAGTACAAATATCTTGGTAATGTTTAAAGTACATAGATTTGTAGTTGTGTTTAAACTCTAATACTGTTTTTGGTTTATTTTGATTGTATTAGGAAGAGCATCCCATACTTTTGGTCCACTGTACGAGAAACTAGACTTATACAGCTCTGTATTTGGTTTTGAAATTATAAAATTATCTGAAGACGAAAATCTTGTATTGTATTTTTAGTTTGCAGAAGCTGATAAAATAAGACTGGACATATAATCTGGAGCTAGTCCATGTTTTGCCTTGTACATTAGTAATGCTTTATGATAATGTATTCTTTGTGTAATCGGCACAATGTTACATTCGTGAAATAATTCCCTTGAAGATTTGGTGTAATCATGTTCGTCTAAAATTATTCGTGCTGCTCTCTTTTGCAGTTTTAATAAACTATCTAATAAAAAGTTATTGCAGTTTCCCCATATTGAACAACAATAATCTAAATGAGGTAAAACGTAAGCGTTATAGAACTAAAGAATAGTTATTTTTTTATTATATAATCAATATGAGAAGACCAAGATAGAGATGCATCAACAAAAATACCAAGAACCTTTTAACATGTACTTTCTTTAATTTGTTGTCCATTTATGGCAAGATTAATGTTTTCGTTTGATGTAACTGAAAGCTTCTATTTAGAGCCAATACATATAGCTTTCGTTTTAGATACATTTACAGCCATTTTATTGTCATCACACCGTATTAGGTTTTTGACTGATGCAACTTTTATTTTGTCCAATTACTGATATGGTACTATCATCAAAAAATAAATCGGCGTTTTGATGAGGATTAGGATTAGATAAAAGAAGATCATTTATAAAAATTAAAAACAACACAGGTCCTAAAACGGATCCTTGAGATACCCGTTTTTTTGTTTTTGTACGTCTGAAAATGTATTTGAAATAGATACCATCTGAAAACTGTCAGCCAAATATGATGTAAACCAACGTAGAGAAGTATAAGCAAATTCAGTTGTATTTGTTTAATTTTTGAATAAGCAGTTCATGATTGAGAAGATCAAAGGCTTTTGCTAGATCTAGAAATACTGCCCCAACAAGATCGCCATCATCAATGGCTTTAAGCCATTTATCCAATAAGGCTGTAAACGCAGTTTGACAAGAACGGTTTTCACGTAAGCCTGACTTCATTCTATGCAATAAGTTGTATTTATTAAGATAATTTACTAAGACTTAGTGTGTTTTCACATCTTTTTCAAGTATTTTTGAAATGAGTGGTAAAATTACAATTGGTCTGTAATTAAAAACATCCTGTTTTGAACCTTTGTTCTTATAAAATGGTATGACTTTTGCCAGTTTAAATGAATATGGAAAAATACATTTTTTAATACTTAAGTTAAAAATGTGACAAAGTGGTAGTGAAATAGCATGAGAAGACTTCTTTAAAAACTTTGCACTTATGGTATCAAGACCTGTTGCTTTTGATTCATCTATTGCTTTTTAGTTGTAAAAAAACAAAATCATAACTCATTAGGGGTATAGAAAAATACACGTTATCTGGTACTTGACCCGATATGAAATCATCAAGTTTGTTAAAACAGTTATTATTGATGTTTTGATTTATATTCTAAAAGATTATTTGTGATATTTGTGAAATAAGCATTAAAAACATCAGCAATGCTTTTTGGGTCTATAATTTCCTTTTGTGTACAATCACTAATGATTTTAATACTGGCATGATTGTCGGTTCCGCTGACAGTATGTAGGTGCTTCCATAATTTACTACTGTTGCCCTTTTTGTGTTCAATGATATTGGTATAAAAATTTAGTTTAGAGTTTTCGATGAGATATTTGAATTTGTTTCTCCAGAGTATATAACTATACATATTTTGTTCTTATGATAAAAATCACGTTTTCTCATGCTATCTAGAATTTCATCATTCATCCACTCATTTTGATACAAATGTTTTACTCTCTTTTTAATAAGTGGAGCATGATGATTTAATACTTTAGTAAAAAATTTAAAAATGACAACAATGCTTCTTCGGGGTCATCAATTTCTAATACACTATCAATTGAACACTGTTGTGTATAATATAAGACTTCGGAGTTTCATATCATTTACATTCAACGTTTTTTATCGGATATTTTTTTTTACTATCTATGTTGAAACCCGGATATTTTTTTTTACTAACAATGTTGAAACCCGAATTTCAACATAGATAGTAAAAAAAAAATGTCCGATAAAAAACGTTGAATGTAAATGATATGAAACTCCGAAGTCTTATATTATAGGACTAACTGTGATATGTGATTGATAAAATCATTTTCATTAAAATGTTTAGTAGACCTGAACGTAATATATTCGTGAATTTTCTTTTTCGATTTTAACCCTCTTTTGTAAGAAATGCATACTGGATAGTGGAATTGATCGAATACTTTGGAACAGAAATAAAATGAATATTATCTGGTTCATTACTATAAATATGGTTTATCAAAGTGGAAGATGTTTGTGTGACTCGAGTGGGAACTGAGACTATTTGAGACAAGTTAAAAATGTCTTCCAACAATAAAAATTTAACACAAAAAAATAGCCAAAAGTATATATTGTGGCCAGTTAAGGCCATTTCACGTTTCCGCCCTTCATATTAAATCGGGAAGTCGAAAAGTTTTCGCCTTTCGCGTTTTCGCCCTATAGAATATTAAGCTAGGCCGAAAACGCGAAAACGAGAAATGGCCTTAACCGGCCACTATACAAAATTGGTGTTATATAGTATCAAGTCAACACAAAAATGAACAATGACTCCTACTTGCCTACGAATGCTGCATTTGATATAATTAGATTAACAGAACTGACTGCCGTTCCGAAGCACCTGAATTCGTCCATGTTTTTGTTGGTTTCGTGTATCTCAATTCAAAGTACTAGTATTCTAGTATAAATCTTTTATGGACTTTCTTTCACACATGATTTTTCTCACTTTTAACATCCAATCATGAACTTATCCCTTATTTTGCGTAACGTACAGTGGGAACTATTTCATGGTTATATTCAATGCGAGTAGAATTTTAGTTAGTGACAATGATAAAAAATACAGTTTTAAAACTTGCTTTAATTGTATAAAAAACACTATTAGCCATGTCTGGTCAGGTTAAATTTGTCAAAAAATTATCGAGAAGCAAGATCATAATTATATGAGATTTTTTGTTGTATTTTATCGGTATTCTATCCAGCTTTAAATATTACTATTCAATAAAATTAATATAGTTGATTTAAGACGACAATTTTTTAATTAGTATTTATTGTTGTAAATTTGATATGGTTATCATCAAAAGTAAATATTAATTATTGGTTAAAAATATTTACTGGTGTATCGATCAGCTTCTACGCCCGAGTATATACAAATATGTATCCGTGTATTTCAATGGAATGGTTTTTTCCTCATTGTAATAACATTTTCCCAGCATTAATAATTAATGATGATTAGCTGTTTGAATAAGAAAGATTATATAATAAATATTATTTTGTTTGTCAAATTTAATAATCATATATCGAAAAATATTGTAAATATTTACTAGATCTATAATGTTAATTGCTATTTCAATTAATCTTAACACGCGAACCTACTTATGAAGGTTAAAGAAGTTATGGCGGTAAAAGTGATCTTATACCAACTTAATTAAAATTAAATCTTTCAAGACTTTAGATCTCATTACAAGCAAGAAAACTGGTTGACAATATTAAATATGCAGTATGCTTAAAATATTCGTAATTCTTGTCTATTCTATGTGTTGTTTCTGCGCTGATCATGTATCGGAAATTACGAGCGAAATATTCGACATCGCATATAAGACAAAGATAATTTCCAGCGGAACAACGTTCAAAAATTTAACAGTTTTCTCCAAAATATCCTGTGCCCAATCATGTTCCACAGAGACTAACTGCTGTTCGGCAAGTTATGACAATAAAACAAATGAATGTCAACTGGATTACCTTCACCAGCCTTATACAGAACAATCGGAGAGCGGATTACTAATAAAAAAGATGGAAATAACAGGTAATTTATAATTTATTAATATGATTTAGTAAGCACCAATACACTGACATAAAATTCAGAACAATAGACAACTTTCAAGTTCGATTCATTTCCGTCTTAAACTTTGGTTGGTTTCAGTGAAAATCGTCCGTTCGTTTAGGGCATCGTCACTTCAATTCCAATGTTGTGCGAGTGGTTGGAAAACAATAATGCTATTATGTACCAGTTATTCGGCAAATTGAATTCTCGTAATTGACAACCAGCACTGCTGTCATTAGGGAATTGTGACTCAATACCGACAAAACAAACGTTATTTATTTTCTTATTCGTGGCCTCAAACGCAAATAAAGTATTTATGAAAAAAAACTCAAACACATATCTATGGGAAAGAGCTCGCCTAGACGAGTGCAGCAAAGTTTTATTTTCTAATAATACAACTGTCCTCAATCACTTTGCCAGCACACTAAGACCGCTGCAGCATACATGTCTTACACACAATGAAATGAAATAGAACCTTTCGTATCACAAAACAATATTTACATAATATAGATATATTAAGAAGATGTGGTATGAGTGCCAATGAAACAACTCTCCATCCAAGTCAAAATTTATAAAAGTAAACCATTATAGGTCAAAGTACGGTCTTCAACACGGAGCCTTGGCTCACACCGAACAGTAAGCTATAAAGGGCCCCAAAAATTACTAGTGTAAAACCATTCAAACGGGATAATGTTCTTTTAAGATCTGCAGAAAAAACGTAATGCGTTTACAATAATTATAAATTAATACAAAACATGTTCACAAGGGGGGGCAATCGATAGTTAATAAATACATTTCTAGTTTATTTCTATTTCTAGCACCTGAGATCACCCCCAGTTTTTGGTGGGGTTCGTGTTGCTTAGTCTTTGGTTTTCTATGTTGTGTCATCTGTACTATTATTTGTCTGTTTGTCTTTTTATTTTTGGCCTTGGCGTTATCAGTTTGTTTTCGATCTATGAGTTTGACTGTCCCTCTTTTTTATCCTGCACAATGACGATCACTTAGACGCTCGAGGGGGAGGGGGAAACTTTACTGCACTAAGACTTAGCTTCGAATGGTCAAAATATGAAAATGTATTTTCATTGTAAACTTTTACCGCGAATGACCAGTCCGTGCTATCATACAAAGAAACTTTAAACTCTTAACTTTGTTAAGGTGACTTATTGTTATGCTAAAATACTTTAAATATTATTATAAACATGAACATATGTTCCCAATATAACAACAAACCCAAGTGCTATCGATAGTTAATAAATAAAATTCTAGTTTATCCTGCACAATGACGATCACTTAGACGCTCGATGAACGTTAATAGTGCAGGGATACAGTCGATCCCCTCTATCTGGTAAATGATGTCATAAAGGCGCCCGTAATTGACGAGTTTTGTTTCGGTGAAGGACAAACTCGATATTGGTCTATTGTACACACATACTATATACAAAAAGAACAACTGAAAGTACTTATAGAACAAAATATTAAAAGGAAGACGAATATGTGCATTCAGGAACAACAAAAAAAGGACATACATTTCATATATCTTATACATAAATAGCCATTATGTTCCAGTTAGCACCGGAATCGGACATTTCATCAATAAAAGTCTGTAAATAAAAAAGTCGACCATCAGTAGAGCTTATCATAGACTTTAAATGACAAAGTGAAATATCAGTAGAGCTTCTCGTAAACTTTAAATAATAAAGTAGACTATCAGTAGAGCTTCGAATTCTCGTAGACTTTAAATGATAACCGACTATCAATAGAACTTAAAGTCGACTATTAGTAGATTTTCTCGTAGATTTTAAATGATAAAGTCGACTTTCAGTAGAGCTTTTCGTCGACTTTGTTATTTACAAAGTTTGATTGATAGAATTCCTGACTCCTGTGCAGTAAGCCATTAACTAGTAAACGTTTTGCCAGGATTACGGAATGCTGGAAAAGAATTTTTATATTACATGCAATCGGCTATTTCACCATACACACGAACCTATGCGACAGTCAAGAAATATAAAAACATCATCTCCTGGTATTTTTCACCACTTGTGAACACTGAAGCTGTTATGTTATTTACGTAACAGTTCATTTAAGAATTAAATGCTTCTTTTTGAAAATTCATTTGGGTGTAAAAGCGTTGACCGAAGTACATTTTGTGTAAAGGAAGCGATTCAATCTTAAAATATGCGCACGGTCAATGCTTGACCAGCCATATAAAATTACTGAAAGACGCATTCAATATTTATTATTAAATATTTTTAAATAGGATCATGAAAACACGATTTCTATCATTTTTTCTTTATTTACCTATGCACTTTATTATGGAAGCTCTTGTCTTCATGAATTTTACATTTCATTTTGATTGATTGATTGATTGTGGCAAATATTTCATGAATGTTCAGGACGAAAACAAGTTAACAATTAATACAATAGATAGGTCTTGTATTAGAGGCCACCTGGGATGATGGTCGGGAAAATTTGGACTGCCACTAGAAAATGAGGGTATATTGGATAGAGACAGAAATTTTGCCTTGCAACAGGCCACCTACGGACCCCTCAAAGAGTTGTTGCAAGGGTTCTTTACGTGCAAAGAGCGTGGCACTTTCTTTACACGAGGCATCGGATTTAACGTCCCCATTCTGACCGGTCGTGGCTGCAAACTTGATACATCCTGCACAGCCAAACGGACACCCCACTTTGGCAAGCGTTTTACTGCCGGTCGGAAGAAGACCAAGTGACCATATTTCGTTTCCTCAGTCACCATATGGGGCCATTTCATTTTGAAATGAAGGTTAATTTTAGAATGAAGTGAGATTGCTGTTAGCCAATGAAAATAACGTATTATAATGAAACATAAATGTAACGCAAATTATTCAAGGGTCAACTTGATTATAAAACTGTTAAGAATTTAACGTCATAATGTTGAAAAGAGGAACACAACGATTATAATACCAGAATACAAAAAATCAGACAACGAAAAAACTCATTTGTACTTGCTGTGAAACTGAAAACATAAATAAATTCATTATTTGTCGACTATGCACGTTCATTGAATTGAATATATCTAATTTTCCACTTATTTAGGACAACCCCCGATAATGTGCTCAACGAGGAATGATTGCAACGAATTACCAAGTGGGACTGCTGAAGGAGTTTACACCATCAACCCCCCTGCCAGGGGTGTGGTCAATGTTTACTGTGAAGCAGCTGGTTGGACGGTAAGTTCACACTGGCAATGGTTATGAGTTTACACCATCAATCCTACTGGCAGTCGTGTGTTCAATGTTTACTGTGAAGCAGCAGGTGGTGACTTTACTCCATCAATCCTCCTGGTAGTCGTGTGTTCAATGTTTACTGTGAAGCAAATGTTTGTACGGTAAGTTCACACTGTCCATGGTGGTTAGTTTACCCCATCAATCCTCCTGGCAGTGGTGCGATCAATGTTTACTGTGAAGTAGAGGATCGGACGGTAAGTTAACACTGTCAATGGTTGTGAGTTTACACCATCAATCTTCCTGGCAGTGGTGTGGTCAATGTTTACTATGAAGCATATGATCGGATGGTTAGTTCACACAGTAAATGGTTGTGAGTTAACACCATCAATCCTCCTGGCAGTGGTGTGCTCAATGTTTACTGTGACGTAGAGGGTAAGACGGTAAGTTCACACTGTCAATGGTTATGAGTTAACACCATGAATCCTCCTGGCAGTGGTGTGATCAATTTTTACTGTGAAGCAGAGGATTGGACGATTAGTTCACAGTATCAGTGATTGTGAGTTAACACCATCAATACTCCTGGTAGTGGTGTGATCAATGTTTACTGTGACGTAGAGGGTAAGACGGTAAGTTCACACTGTCAATGGGTGTGAGTTAACGCCATCAATCCTCCTGGCAGTGGTGTGATCAATGTTAACTGTGACGTAGAGGGTAAGACGGTAAGTTCACACTGTCAATGGGTGTGAGTTAACACCATCAATCCTCCCGGCAGTGGTGTGATCAATGTTTACTGTGAAGAAGATGGTTGGACGGTAAGTTCACACAGTCAATGGTTGTGGGTTTACATCATCAAACCTCCTTACAGTGGTGTGATCAATGTTTATTGTGAAGCAGAGGGTTTTACGATAAGATCAAACTGTGAATGATTGTGATTTAACACGAACCCATTTATAGGCAATAGTTTTCTTAATGTCTACTGTGAAACAGAAAAAAACTGTAGTCTGAATATTTAAAGCCTTCTTCAAGGATCTATAAGATCTTGTGATCTATAAATAGTATGTTCGAAACATACCCTCAATAGAGGTAATGAATACCAGGACTTAACATATTGCGTCATTCACATGCTGTTTTATGAAGACATAAATCATGTCAATATGATGTGTGTTCTTGTTGTTTGTTTATGACAGTTTAGTTAGGTCGTATTGTTGAGTTGCTGTCAGATTGACCTTGATACCATATCTCCTTTATTCACATACCTTAAGTTTTATAGAATGTACCAAATATATAAATGAATTTTCAAAGTCTTATATATTATCCCTGTTTTGGGTTTTAATAAAAGCTAATTAAAAACCACGGCTGAGCAATTCCGAAAACATGTCACGCAAGCTGCATACAAGTACCACGGCATTTTGTAAACAAAAGAAGTTTCTTTAATTCAAATAAAAAATTGTTTTTCGAAGTCATTATCTCTTGAACCACAAAAACTAGGTTACTTGTCAATACCCAATATTTACGTACGACTATTTCTTGTAAATAATTTTTCATGACATTTTTTACAATTAAAATTAAAAAATATATTTAATTGGGATAATTAGGAAAATAATGAGAATGTAAACAGTATTTGTGCGTATGTGTCAAATATGTTTTGTATTTCTTAGAACACGGCTTTGTTTACAAAGCGAAATAAGGACGTCACATTATGATATTATTAATTAACTCATTGAAGTTGTTTATAAAGGTATCAAATTTATTAACTATATATTGGAAATATGGCATCTGGCTTTCCCTATATTGTCAAATTTTAAATGATCTCAAATGTTGTCATTGGATCGTGTTCAAATATATATAAGGTGGCAATTTTCATTTTGTCAATAAAATAACATGCATGCTCATGTATGTTAAGATGCATTTCAATTGATATTTTATAGTGTCTTTCTATGTTGTGATCGTGTTCAAATATATATTAGGTGGCAATTTTCATTTTGTCAATAAAATTACATGCATGCTCATTTATGTTAAGATGCATTTAAATTGATATTTTATAGTGTGTCTTTCTATGTTGTGATGCTAAACTATTGTTTCAGGTAAAGGGTAAGGTGTGTACCTATTAAAACGTTTAAACCCGCTGCATTTGTGTGCACCTGTTCTAAGTCAAAAATGATGAACAGTGGTTGTCGTTTGTTGATGTGGTTCATAAGTGTTACTCGTTACTCGTTTTTTATATAGACTATACGGTTGGTTTTTCCGTTTGAATGGTTTTGCACAAGTTATATTTGGGGCCCTTTATAGCTTGATGTTCGGTGTGAGCCAAGGCTTCGTGTTGAAGGCTGTACTTTGACCTATAATGATTTACTTTTACAAATTTTAACTTGGATGAAGAGTTGTCTCAAACATTGTAGACACTCATACTATTAGTTACATAGTGTGTAAGTGACCTAATACGATATATACAGGGTCAGTAAATTCCATATGGGATGAGAGCGAACCTAATACGATATATACAGGGTCAGTAAATTCCATATGGGGTGAGAGCATATATCGTATTAGGTCACTAGCACACTATGTAACGAATTTATCTTACCGGCTATCTTTATTTGTTGAATTTAGACTAGAGTTGTCTCATTTGCAATCATACCACATCTCCTTATTTGTATATTAATGTTTTTAAGTGTTCAATTTTAAGAACCTACTTCAATTGGTCTGCACAAAAAAAAACTAATGTCACCAATAACAATTTAATATCAACAACCTTGATATAACAATATTAAACAGAACTTTCAATACATTTAAATAATAAAATAGTGCCAAAGTCGTAACTCCACTACTAACCGTGTATGGAAATAAGCTCCGCCTCCCTACTAACTTATATGTAATATACACGGTCTCCACGCGGACGCTTTTGACCAATCATATTACTAGAAATGTATAGGAGGTAAGATAAAACATCTTCTTATATCTATATAATGACATCGAACTCGGACTCCTCTTATACTGAGTTTTACTGTGCGTACTGTTGTGCGTTTGTTTTTTCTACATTGGCTAGAGGTATAGGGGGAGGGTTGAGATCTCAAAAAACATGTTTAACCCCGCCGCATTGTTGCGCCTGTCTCAAGTCAGGAGCCTCTGGCCTTTGTTAGTCTTGTATCATTTTTAATTTTAGTTTCCTGTGTATAATTTGGAGTTTAGTATGACGTCCATTATCACTGAACTAGTATACATATTTGTTTAGGGGCCAGCTGAAGGACGCCTCCGGGTGCGGGAGTTTCTCGCTGCATTGAAGACCAATTGGTGGCTTTCGGCTGTTGTCTGCTCTATGGTCGGGTTGTTGTCTCTTTGACACATTCCCCATTTCCATTCTCAATTTTATTTTATGATAATTGATATACTATTGATACTAACGATGTTATTTAAAAAAAAAGAAGGATAAAGTTATTTTAATGAATATAAATTATTGAAAAGTTTGTGTTGAGATATTTATAATAAATGTGATATTTGTAACATTCAGCTGAAGTAAAATAAGATTGGGAAAGGTATATTTAGAAGACAATAAAAATAGAGGATACTTTTTTTAAGTCGCATTTATGAGGAGCTGGATGAAATTTACACAATAGAGAATAATGGCAAAATAAATTGAATAGAGAAAAAAACCCAACCAAAATAAAAGATACAGAATAATGGGATGCAAAGGCATATAAAGAATAACTGCGGAAAATAAAATAATACGATAATATAATACTGATTACAGATATGAATAATGTACAGAATAAAGAAATTATATAATAACAGATAAATTTATTAATAAAGTACTTTTTATGCGGGTTTTATAGAACAATAGTTATTTTTTAAAATAAGGAAAACATACCAAATATGTAAAAAATAAAGAAATAACGGACTACCCAACCAGACCCTTGAGTAAGCTCTGCACGTGGTAATTTATAGTAATAACTATTTAACACGTATCAATGATCATGATATAACCTCGTCCTGAACATTCACGAACTATTCTCACGGTTGGTAAGGTTGTCCTGCGAGAGAACGTTCTGTGCTGGTGATTCGGTCCTGACTGGTGCTGGTGGGTCCTGATTCTGTGCTGGTGGGTTTGTTTACATTGTACCAGAACGGCAATAAAACAACCGTTCTGTTGCTTAATTTTTCTCTGATACTTCATAAGTGCCATGCGAGGAATGTTACAACGATTTTTTATTGAAAAAGTTGTGCAAATTCGCCAAACGAAATAGTCCTGACGATGTGCTGGTGATTAGAAAAACGGTCCTGGTTCTGTGCACCTATGTCCTGGTTCTGTGCCTTTATATTTTAGTTAAAAGTGGCAAATATTCAAGATCATTGATGCAGAAAATTTGTATAATTGATAGAAAATATACCTAGCATATATTTGGTAGATATATGAGCCAAGTTGAGTCTGTTTTTTTTATTTGATTTTTGAGAGGGGGTGCAAGAACTTTCTGTTGATGTGTTTTGGCATTTTTAAACTTTAAATTTGTTAACTGTTATTTTGAAGATATATGTGCTGTTAACTGTTATTGACTAATTAGCTGTTATCTGTTTTCTTAAAATTGACATTGTTGTGAACTGTTATTATGAAAGAAAAAAAAATACCCCTGTTTACTGTTTTTTGATTTTTGAATTCACTGTTTTCTCATTTAAGATGATTTAAAATGCTGTTATCGGTTATCAATATTTTAAATTTACTGTAATCTGATTTGAGCAAAATAAAAAAAATATTGACCTGTTAATTGAAACCCTCTTGCCCCCTTTTGAGATAAGAAAATATGCATACGATTTGCGGGATTACGATCCTTATGCATGACCATCAAAATACGGTGTAAATTATCCAATACCTATATAAAAAAGATTATCTGGTATGTTTGCCAATGGACAAATTTCCATCAGAAACCAAATGAGCTAGGTTTTAACAACTATATGTCACCGTACGACCTTCAACAATGACCCGAAAAATCAAAATGTAAAAGGTTTTGCATAAA